CTACTTTTTAGGGTGCTATATTAGGGATGGACACAACTGCAGTTGCTTGCTTTCATGGCCAGAACATCAATGCACGGGCTGCGCTGATCAGTGGCCCGCCTGGCATCGGCAAAACCACGACCTGCACCGGCCTGAGTAGAGATCTTTGCAAACGCAGGCCAGCAATGGCGTACATATCATAAAATAAGATGTAATGCCATATAGTAAAGTACTATACATCATTATCTTATGCTATAATATGATCTTATCTAGTATAATATGATATCATAGCCCATGTGCGCTCACCTCTGAGGCCGGCTCGTGGCCAAGCTCCACGGCGGCTACGAGGCCTGGTGGTACTTCAGGGGGGCGGCTGAGCAGGTCCCTTCTCGTGTGCTTTCGGCCAGGTCCTCGAGTTCAATGCTTCCGATGCACGTGGGCAAAAGATTATCCAGGCCTTCTGCACTGCAAGAAAGATGCGAAAGCCCCTGAGCGCAAAGCAAGAGACTTGGGCCAGAGTGCGGACATAGTTTGGATAGACTTGGCAGGCACCGAAATCAACACTCGTCTCGCAAGCATAGTAAGAGTATCTGTTGCAGGATATGGCCTCCGGTATTGCCGACAACCGAACCCTCAGCTTCGGCGATGTGGGTGCAAAGAAGGCCAGGCCATGTCCCGGGAAGGCATCACCTTATGCTAAGCTGTTCTGTAGCTTAAAGCTTTAAAAGTCTTGCAAGACGATGCTGCCTTACTAATCCATCCCTGCAGCTCGGTATTGTTGTACATTCTCGCAGGTGCCGGCATTGACCAAAAAGGCGATCATCATCATGGATGAGGCTCCTTTGACACCCGTCATGCTCTTGTCTCGGTGGCGTCTGGCAAGGTGGACGGTATGGGCGCCGGTGACCGGGGCGGCATGGCCGCTTTGGGCAGGACCAGCCTTTTTTTCAATTATTGCAGTAGGGCATGTCGGGCATGTCGTGCTAAAATGTGGTTGCAGTTTAGTATTATCCTCGTAGGGTAGTGTGAGTGTACTCGAGCATCGTGTCGTGTATTGTCTGTCACCGCCAAAGCCCCGGCAGGATGATCAAGAAGACGCGCAATCCCATCATGTGCATCTGCAACGATTCCCACAGCCCGAAGGCTCTCTGCCTCGATTTCAGCAGGGAGTTTCAGGGTACTCCAAGTGTGCTTCAGGTTCGGTCTTTGGCGTCGAGAGCTCAGATTTTTTGGGCTCTCTTGTGGGACAACGGCGGGGCATGTGTGCATGTTGCGTACCGAAGCTGGACAGACATGCAGGTTCAGCTGCTACGATCTGAAGTTTTCCAGGCCACAGCATTTGCCTTGCATATCTCAAAGAATCCAGCACAAGTGTGTGCATGTTTTGAGCGAAAAGCATCATTCGTGTGCGAGCTTGTTCTTTCGCTTGCATCGTGCCAGCCTCCCTGCCCGCCTGTGTCCGCCAGCCTGCTCGTCAGTTGGTCTGCGTGTTCCGTTGAAGTGCCGCTAGGCCGACCAAGAATACAGTCGCGCAGCGCTGCGTTCCGGACCCGGGAAAACAGTCTGCGAGCAACATCAGCCGGAACTTGAAAAACTCAGGCGCAGATTTCGGCTTCAACCGGTCTGCAGGCGGCTGATGCGGCTCAGCAATGTGACTCAACATGACTCAACATCCCAGTTTTTCAGGTGGAGACGAATGCTTTAGAGGCCCTGGCAGAGTCCAACTCTTGGAAGTCTTTGCAGTCGATGTGGATCTTTCCAATGCCACATTCCACAGCAGTCCCTTGAGGTCGTGTGGCAGTGATATGCGGATGGTGCCTGCCCCACCAGCTGTCGTTCCGATTTATGTGGCACTTGCAAGCTGGCAGCCTTCCTCTGTGAACATAAGCAGCTCGATGAAAGCAGCTTGCGCTTTATGCTTGCTGGGCTCAAGCTGCACGTTCTGAATCAATGCTACCTCTCCCTCTCCCTCTTGCTCCCATCCAGTCGCTTGACGCATGGGAGGCACGTGATACTAGGTTTGGCTACGAGACGTTCTGTCACATAGGCGCCGTCGGTGCCTGCAGATTTTGTGAGGCATAGTTGACCGGTTTTGGGCAGCAGACGGCTCTACGAAGGCGCGTTTGCATTGCTATGTCCAGCAGCTTAAGCAGCTGCTTTGCAAAGGTTGCCCACGGATGCTTGACACATCTTCAAAGTTGGTCCCGAGAGGAGAGGCGTAAGAGTTTGGGGCGGTGACGTAGCAAGGCTCCGCGCACCGGTGTCGGTTAGGTCCTGTGGCCTGCAGGATTTGCGGCACTCTTTCGAGAACTTTCGATCTGCCGGTGGTCATGCGGTGAACTGCAGGCCTTGAGTCGAGCACCGACTGTCCAAGAATTCGGAACTTGGGTAGGGTAATCTAGCCGCCAGCGCGAGAGCCGCCTTGGGGACGGCTCCACAATGCCTGTCCGCAGCCATGAGCTTAACCTTCCGAAGCCTCGATAGAAGACAGGAGCTTGGGGCCCCCAAAACGCACATAAAAATGAGGATCCCATGTGCTAAGCCTTGCGGCGGGGCTGGTCAGCCAGCCTCGGCGGAATAGAGTTTTGCCACAAATCCTGACGCCCTAAAACCTGCATCTTAAGCTGAGTCTTTTCTGGGAGGCAGTTGGGGCAAATTCTACGAATCAGCAACTTCCACCTGACGAAGGCTGCCTTTGCGTAGAAGCCCATAAACTGCCACAAGTTCCAAGATCATCTTAGGTTGATCTCAGTACAGAATGTTACATACACGCACTAAGTGCCTTCTTAGCTGCTATCATACCACGCGTAGTAAACACGCTGCAAGGACATTTTTGACCTCCTGCTTGGGTGCTGGGCTTAGCTGATGTGTATGCGCAGCCGATGCTGGTGGTACAGACATGCGACTGCACCCGACAAGTCCTGGCACTCTGACCAACTTAAGGCCCGAACATACGGATCGCGGTCTTCTGGATTTCTGGTCTGTCATAGGCTCCAAATTGATGCCGCTTTCCGACGGCTTTCTCGATGTTCTCGACGATTACGAGCGTCAAGAGACACGTCGCTGTGCTTGGAGGTCCCATGGTGGTGATGTCTGGCCAGCACTACATTTCCAGGGTGCCCTGCCTTCCTAGCTCTTTGCAGAGCATCCTCGGCTTCACCTGGATGGAGGTCAGCTTCCTGTTCAGCATCTTCGACATGGATGGAGATGGCTGCCTCAATGAGTCTGAGATCATTCTGGCCGCCATCCCCTTGGAGTTGCGCACGTGTTTTCCTGCAGATCGTCAAGCCGCCACAGATTTCATTTTGTAGCTTTGCCAGTGCCACAGGTTCGCTCGGTGTTCTTCGGCGATGCCCTTGGACCGTTCTTGTATGTTCTTGTGATGTCCGCGGACCCCTGCATGGAATGTGGCTTCCTGGAGCGCTTGTAACCGTCTAGGTCTGGCGCGGTTCTTTCCCAAAGCAAGTCTGCCGGACGGCAGACGACTGGAACACCTAGCTCAGGAAAAGTGGGTGCCGTGAGTTCAGATGCCACGAAAGTCATTCTCTCTCACTCTTTCCAGGAGATGTTCCAGCGTTTCGACGCAGATGGCCCCTTTTCCGCAAGAGCAGAGGTCAATTCCTGAGGCTGAGCTGCTTGTGTTCTGCGAAGCAAAGGCTCGGGGCTTGTGAGCATTGGGGAGATCGTGAATTATGCCTACCGAAGCGAGGCGGGCGGCGGACACTAGCGAATCAGCCCGAACCCTAACACTCATACATATATACAGGTGTATAGTCTGTATACCTATATACATGCATATATACATATATATATATATACACACGCATATATATATGTACACATATATATATATGTGTGTGTGTATAAATCAATCAATCAATAAATAATATATGTATATATATATATATGTATATGTGTATACGTATATGTGTGTCTCTGCAGTTTTAGTTGCAAACCTTATGCCACAAACCCTAAGAACAAAACCGCAAGCCTAGGCTTTGCGCGCCCGACAGCCCCGAAGCCCACTTGGTCAGGGCCTGCTGCGGCTCTGTGAGCCTTTCCCCTCTCGCGAGAAGCAAGTACATGAGGTGCCTCGGCTACGGCTTGGGCCGTAGGGTTTTTGGTTGTCGCGTGTTGGGGTATGTTGGGTACATGATGTCATCTATGTTAACACCATATGTCTTTGGGTTGTCAAAGTGTGATATGCAAGTTCCAGCAAACCGGTATCTGTAGTACATGCAAACAGGGATCCCTGCAGACTAACTGCATTGAACAAATCGAAGGCACCCCCTAAACCTTGAGCCTGCAAAGCCGCTACAACAGTGGCAAAAAATTCGAGCCACGCGATTCGTCTTGTCTTTCTCTGTTACTAACCGGAGTGTCAGATCTAGCTGGAGTGTCAGATCTTGCTGTGGGCGAGTTTTGCTCAAACATTTGACAGCTGCTCTTGTTAGCGCAGTTTTGGTTGCAAGCAAGTCTGCCTCCCAAAAATACTAAATTCGCAGCGCAATGTATTGCTATCATTCTCCATTGTCGAAGGTCCTACGAATCAATAAGCGTTAGGACGTTTGCTAAACTGCTAAACAATATCAGCTTTAACACTACTGAATGCAGCCAGGCAGTAGGACCAACAACGTAGAGTTGGTTCTGTTAACCACATCATGTGATTGATGGGAGCACTGCGACTCTGCTAGCATGACTAACTTGGTTGATATGGTGCAATCGTTCATACTGCAGGGAAGTTGGATGTTCATGCTCATACTTTGAATCAAGCATACAAGTATGTCATGTAAGTCAGTAACCTGGCTAATATGGTTGTTCTGGCTGCCATGACTGACCTGCTGGACATGAACGAATGCGATTGCCTATACGCAGGTAAAGCATCACATGTTTGTACATCTACACGTATGACTAGCATGATCACAGCTTTTTGCTTCATGTCTTGAATTCGGTTGTGTGGACTACGATTGGGTCCATAATGACACAGCTGCGATCATGCTACTTTCTACATGACCTTGCATCCCTGGTGTGAGTCGGAAAATATTCTTTACATGATCCACCTGATCCAAAACGTCGGGCACTTCTTGCTACGTTTTGTAATAGCGCAGTTAGCTTATGAATCATCGTCGATGTCATCATCACTACTGACTACTGTCGCCATATCCATCATCATCATCATCATCATCACCGTCACCACCATCCTCCTCCTCCTCCTCCTCCTCCTTGTCATTATCATCAGCATCAGTATCACCATCGTGCTTGGACTGCTAGGTGGCCTTTCACTGTTTGAGGTCTACGCCGGCATATCTACATCTGGACAGTACAGCATCCTGGTTTCCTGATCAATGCATGATGAACGATTTGAGATTGTAAGCAGCATGGCACGTGTGAATTGCTGTGTCCCGTAACAACACTACTAATCTGGAAAACGTGACCGACACTATTGGCCTTGCCAACATGAACTCTCTCAAACTGCATGTGATCGCTAATGTGATTGAACAGCTTGGGTCATGTCTACGCTTTGAGATCACCAATCCCAGCATGATCCACCCTAAACCCTAAACCGTAAACCCTAAACCGTTCAAGAACGGCAGTTTAGATTGTTAATTCAGAAGCTGGCTGCAAGTTTCGCAGGAGCCTGTCCACTTCATCGGCTCGTCGGCCTCCAGAGGACATAAGGCCCGGAAACCCTGAACCCTAAACCCTAAATCCTAAACCCTAAATCCTGAACCCTAAACCCTAAATCCTAAATCCTAAACCCTAAATCCTAAAGCCTAAATCCTAAATCCTAAACCCTAAATCCTAAACCCTAAATCCTAAACCCTAAATCCTAAACCCTAAATCCTAAACCCTAAATCCTAAATCCTATATCCTAAATCCTAGACCCAAATCCTAAACCCTAAACCCTGAACCAGCGACGTGTGAGCCGTCGTGACGCAGAAAGCACTCGTGGCGTTCATGCAGGCTCACGGACGGCTGGGGGAGCCGAGTCTCAGTGCGTGGCTCAACTTTTGCAACATTTAACATGATACTAGTATCATACAAAATAACATATTATGGTATGGTATAGTATCATATATATATATGTAGATATGTTTATATGTATTTGTATATGTATATGTATATGTATATGTATATGTATATGTATATGTATATGTATATATATATATACACATGTATATATATATATATACACATGTATATATATATAATATAAAGGTTATACTATCATATAATATAGTATAGCACAGCTAATACAGCAGAGTATAATAGCGCATCTTTCTCGACGAGGTCTGAGGCGTGACCTCCGCTTGGCTCCAGACCCTTCGCCGCCCCAAAGCCAGGGCTCCGCGAGCTCCAGCGCCAGGCCCCCTTCCGAACTCAGCGCACGTTTTGGGGTTTAGGGGTTCAGGGTTTAGGGGTTCAGGGTTCAGGGTTTAATTAGAGTTCAGGGTTTGGGGTTCAGGGTTTGGAGTATATAGGGTTTAGGGTCTAGGGTATATAGGGTCTAGGGTGTGCCGCCTTTTGAAGGTCCCGTCACTATGACAAACCCTGGCAGCGGGCAGCCAACCGGGACGGGCTAACGAAGGTGCCGCTGCGGCGAGTCGAAAGGTAGACGGCGCTTTCTGCGGAATTCTCGAGGCCCATGCATGGGTTGCTTGGATCTGCTTTCGGCTATTTGCCGACAAGGCGTGCCTCCTGGTGCTCAGTCCTGTGATCGTAGACCCGCAAGAAGCCGTTGTCAGCACGAAGGAGAACCCTCGCATCATCCATGCTACAGAGCTCATGAATCTTGTCAGTGCGATGCCGAGTTCACTTGGGGCATCCTGACTTCTGGGGCAATTGCTCGTTGAGTGGTAAGAATGCACAAAGCTTGATTTTAGCTGTTTCTTGGTGGAGAGTGGCTCTCCTTCTATCGCGAGGGAGGGAGCCGCAGCAGCATCACGAAAATTCTACCCTGCGGAGAGGGCATCACGTTCAACAGGCTTTCGTAGAAGCGTTGAAATGCTGAGGCAGGGGGCGAGTCAAGGTCTTCCCCATGATCAATGCAGCTGTTGAAGAAAGCCGTTCCCCGAGACAGAGATAGGTTTAGGGCATTGGGACTCACGGGGCTGGGACGCGCTTGGGCTGGGAAAGGCATGGAAAACTGCGCAAAGTTTCTATATTGAGGCCGGGACTTGGCGGAGAACATTGCGAGCGAACATGATGAACTGGGCGCAGATCGGCTGGTGGTGAGTGCCATGGACCCAGCGAAGCCAGAACGGCAGCCGAAGGGAGGAAGGGAACGGAAGGAAGCCGGGCACAGACTGCTCAGGTGAGCCAGGCGATGCTGGCCAAGGATTTCGCTGAGCGACTGGAGAGGCTGAGCCACCGGAGTCTTCTCAGTCTTCACTGGCATGCAGACCGCACGCTCTCAGGTTGAGTGGGCCGGGCACGAGTGGTGAAGCAGGCGAAGGAGGCAATTTCGGGAATTCAAGACCACAAGCCCAACACCTCTAAACCCTAAAACCCTACAACCTAAAGCATCAAGTAACTGCAGTGAGGACTGGTCTCCATGCGCAGCTTTCTGTGTTTGCTGTGGCCCAAAGCTTGGAGCTCAGAGAGCTTCGGCTCCCAGCTGTCAGTGCGGATTTTTGCGGATTTTTTTGCGGAATTCAATACTTCTGAGACAGGCCAGTGACGGAGCCATCGAATGCTGCGTGCGATGGTGCCAGAGCTTCCATGCCCACCAGGTTAGGGCCTAGACAGTGGGCAGAAGCGCCGGTAGATTCGACGGGCCATCTTAGTCTTTTTTTTGCTCTGAGACCAACCGAGCGCTTCTTTTTTTTTTGCACTGTCACATCTGCTCGAGCCGTCGGAGTCGGGTCTGCGGCTGGGCAGGTGCTGGCATCCCTTCTCCGGCAGAAGCGCGCCTCCATGCGACAAAGCAGGCCGGGATGATCATCGGCCCCAACAGGACGAAGAAAAGCCTCGGAGGAAATGCAGCGAGAGCATCTTGCGAGGTTCTACCGGAATAGCATCGAAGATCCGATGGCAATGCAGCGGGCGGCAAGCGGCCGGCAACCAGTCGCTGTTGTCGACAGCTTGAGCCGTGAGGACCTGCAGGCACACCTCGGACTCGAAGAAACTCGAAGTCCGGTCTCGTCTTTCTCTCTTTGCAGAGGTACTTTTTGAAGCATTGGATTTTGATGGCAACGGCAAGCTCTCCGCCCGAGAGCTGTGCACACGAGGCCGCGGAGCTTGGGGGCACCGGCTCGCGTTGGCCAAATTCACTGGCATGGTGTGCCTGTTTCCGCTTGTCACGCATCGTTGCAAGCAGCATTTGCTTAATTTCAACGGCGGCGCCATCATACTGTAGATTTTTCGTGCAGGTGGGCTCAGCACCAGAGATGCGCAGAAGCTTCTCCGAATCTGGGACCAGGTGGCGATGACGTTGTCAAAACCATGCTGAATCACTGCCAAGCTGGAGGGCGTCCAAGGTTGAAGAATCAGGTAGAGATATGCAGAGATGCCTACTTGTGAAAAATTCACGTAGAAGACTCGTGAAGTGATCATGTCTTCGTGTTTCCGGGTGGGATGAAACAATCAGATCGCATGACACAACATCTGATATCTGTGGGCAATGCCAGCTCTTTCCTCCAGCTTGCTGATCTGCTGATTGCTTCGGCTTGGTCAGGATGCAGATGGCGAGCTTACCAGCAAGGAGCTCTCAAGCGTGGTGTGCCTTGTGCAAGCTATATGTCTTCACCGCCATAATATTGCATTACATCTGGTTTTGTCCTTGCAAACTTGCTTGCCGGCTGTGCAAGTCTCAGGCAGGCAGTTGACCCAGCCCTGAAGCAGCAGGTCAAGGCGTCTGCTGCAAAACATGCGAAGCGTTGACGATCACATAATTGTCTCTGCTCGCAGGGTATGTTTGCCGCAACAAAGCACGATGTCACAGCCTGAGCCTGCTCGCTGCACATCTGGGGGCTGATCAGGGTTTCGCTTCCCTTTGGGGTGCATGCTTAGATTCCAGTTCTGTACACAGTGTAGGTCGCAGTAGCCAACAGCTTGACCATTGTTTGGAGGCCCCCGCCCCCCCCATGTCACCATGTCACCATGTCTCAGAAAGGTGATGCTCCCGGCTGCACAAACTGCCCGGGAGCCGCCTCGAAGTTTCCCGCGACAGCGAACTCGCAGAACGAGCACGCTGCCACCTCCTTCTCCCCGAGGCCGGGCTTTTTGCAGCTCCTGCTCCCGGGCTCTTCTGTGCTGCCTCGTCGGATGTCGCGATGTGCTTTGGATGCCCAGGAGTGCCGCCCGCTCTTCTTACCCGAGGAAGGCCCAGGCCGATTTTAGCACGACTTGTAGTAGCGGTATAATAGGAAGTATCTAAGAGCAGGATTCGACTGCTTCTGCTAGTCTCTCACGTAGAAACAGTTGATGTCAGGCCGGGGAAGAGGTGATGCTGCTCCACGGAGGCAGCGCCTTAGCGGTAGACTCCGGTGGGCTCTCAGGTTTGGGGCTGGGACCGGGCCAGGTCTGACAGGTCGCAGCGGAATCGATGAGCCGACGAATCCGAGATCGCGCGAGAATTCGGAGAACCAATGTACCCCTCTGGATACAGCCATGTACAGAGCACACGCCTTAGGCGCCAGTCTTGCTTGCAGTGCAGTGACGTGCAGTCCGTACCCTCCGTCAAGTTTGCTAGTACCTGGTCGAGACTCCGCAGATGTCACCATGGCCTCCGTGGTGGAACATACACGCACTGCCTGCCGAATTCATATTGCAAGTCGCTTCGGCTTACCGAAGGTTGAAGGCTGTACAGCGAGTGGATCAGAGATCTGAGGGTGGCACTTTGCCCAGCAACACTCCACCACGAGCTTGGCATTGATCAGTTCTAGACCCACATAGAATATGTTCCCCAAAGGCCATGCCCGATCTGCCAAGCTCGGCGCCGAATTGTGGAGCATGATCGCCTAAGGTGAGCATCCTCCCTGCCTAGCTTAGTTTTCGTAACGTTTTGTAATGTTTTGGATGATGAAAGTCCCCAGTGGAGAAGACGGCATCGCAAAGTGCGTCGCCGGGGAAACAAGTGGACTCGGGACTCGAGAGGTGCTGAATCAGCTGCAGATGCTCACGAAGTCCGACGTCCACATGGCAGAAGGTGTCAAATACATGGACTGGGTGTCGCAGCTTGTGGCTAGAACTGGCCTCGCTGCAAGCACCCATCTGCAGCAGCAGCGCAACTGCATTGCTGCAGGACATGAAGGAGAAGATGCGCCAGATGAACAAGGATCAGGCCGGTGCTTGCCGCGGAACCAAGAGACAAAGAACGGACATTTGAGGTCCCAGCCAGATCTGTGCAGTCCTCACGTTTCACAGGCCATCATGCTGGGCCCTTTTGACGCTTGTTCCTTGGCAGCCGTTCGTCCACTGCTCCTGTTCCATCTTTGGAAATGCTTGTTCAATTCGTTGCTTTGGCGCTTACTGGCGTTAGAACCATACTAGTTGGTGGCGCGCGGTGTTCTGCCTGCTTTCCATGTGACATGTGCAGCTGTTGCTTGGCTGTGGCATCCGGGCCATGCAGGTTCAGGTTTTGCTGCCAAGGGATCGAGTCGTTTGATACCAGCCGTAAACCCTAAACCCCAAACCTTGAACCCTAAACCCTACACCCAAAAGCCTAAACCCTAAACCCTAAACCCAAGACCCTAAACCCTTAACCCCCAGGCAAGAAGCTGCTCACCCATTCGGAGGGCGCTCGGCTTTCCTTCCGAGACCGGCTCGACTTGGTCCGCCAGGGATGTTGATTTTTGCTGTTAATGCTGTGATGATGAGCATGATTATTATTATTTTTATTACTATTTTTCTTATTATTATTGTTTTGTTATTCATATATATATATATATACATATAAATATAAAAATAGATAAATAAATGTATATATATATATATATCTATATATATATATATGTCCAGCAAATCTGCATCCTCCCTTGACGGTGAAAATGAAGAGTCACTAGTCATACCAAAAATAGTTAGCTGCAGCAACAACAGCAATGTCAATCTCAACAGCTGTTGCGGCTACTAGTTACTATGGCAACTCACAAAGGCGGCAGCAGCTGCTGCTTCTCTGGCTGCTACCGCTGCTTGCTGCTGCTCCTCATCTTCCTCCTATTATTATTATTATGATTATTCTTCTTCTTGATACTACTACTACTACTACTAC